TCTTATGATTTTAGAGGAGTTTCTTGAAGAATAGTCATGCAGAATCTTCATAATTGATGTCTCTGATAGCTAACAATTTTTTATCATAGAGACCGTCCATCTCTAGTTGACTCTTTCTACATTTATGTGCGTATAGATATATGTTAAAACCATGCGTTATTAGAAGCCACATTGCATGTTTCCCAGTTTGGACGGGAAACACCTAGAGCTTTTAGTATACATATGAATGACTTCATCAACGTCAATGTAATGTATAGCTGGTTCCGATAATTGAGTTGTAACAGTTGTATGTTACACCATCAACTGCTGTCCCGTTGATTTTGCAGTTTCCAAATGCTAATCCATAATCCATTTCTCTTGCTGCAGACAGCGGTTACATCTTTTGAAGTCACCGAACTACCAGGTTCATGATTAAGATTTATTTTATTGTATGCATTGTAATTAAATATTTCACTAGCATTTCTCATTTTGACGAGAAATATGCTTGATTCAAATGTTGAAACAATCCTGTTGCAGTGAGATCGGCCAAGTTCGTAGCTCGTAAGCAGTGGGTTGTTGCTGGTGCTGATGACATGTTTATTCGTGTATACAATTACAACACAATGGATAAAGTCACTGTGTTTGAAGCCCATACGGATTATATTAGGTGTGTGGCAGTTCATCCTACTCTTCCATATGTGCTGTCATCATCTGATGACATGCTTATAAAGCTGTGGGACTGGGAAAAAGGGTGGGCATGCACTCAAATATTCGAGGGTCATTCCCATTACGTGATGCAAGTGACTTTTAATCCAAAAGACACCAACACATTTGCTAGTGCATCTCTAGATCGCACAATTAAGGTACGACTGTTGTTTATCAGTAAATTTTTAATAATAGTATTTGTAAATTTTTTGTATCATGTAGTTGTCCATTCTTTTGGAATAAGGCTTAGTTTATTGTTTTATTTATGTACTGGATGTGTATTGCTATGGTTTGCTTTTGTAGATATGGAATCTTGGCTCCCCTGACCCAAACTTCACATTGGATGCCCATTTGAAAGGGGTAAATTGTGTAGATTATTTCACAGGTGGCGATAAACCATACTTAATTACTGGTTCTGATGATCAAACTGCTAAGGTTTGTGTATTGTTCCCCTTTTGTCCTCTTGGTCAAGTTTCTATTAATTAAATTTGAAGGCAATTTCTAACTCCTGTTAATAGGTGTGGGATTATCAAACAAAAAGTTGTGTCCAGACACTAGAAGGTCATACACACAATGTTTCTGCTGTATGTTTCCATCCAGAACTTCCCATCATAATTACAGGTTCTGAGGATGGTACAGTTCGCATATGGCATGCAACCACTTATAGGTAATGTCAGTTACAAGATTGCTTACTACCTAGGTTATAGTGACCTTGATGTGATTGGTTTATTTTACATGAATTGTCCTGAGAAAACTTGCTTTTCTCCGCATGGCAATTTATTTTAATTTTTTCCTTAAAGAACAATGAGAAGTAGCTGTACATTTACCATCTCTGCCCAGTTCTTTCCGTTCCATACTCATCAATTTTTTTGTGTAAGATGTAATTATATGACTGCAGTATCTATATTTTCCTTTACTATCTTATTTCTTTAATTATTTTCTTCTGTTTTACCTAATTTCTTATTTTTGTTTCCTTACCTACCGTGATAGTTAGTTTCTACTCATCATCCGTTAATAAGAGACCTCTCATTTAGTTGCATTATCTTGCAGACTTGAAAACACGTTGAATTATGGTCTTGAAAGAGTTTGGGCTATTGGTTGCATAAAAGGCTCAAGACGGTAAGTTAATTTTCTGTTCATTTGTCTGGTGTTTGTAACTTATCTATAAAGCGTCTAATTTTGGTTTTTGGGTGGCAGTTGTTGTTTTTTAGACTTTATGTTTCAATGGTGCAGAAAAGACTGTCCAACGAAATCTTTTGTCCATTTCATATCTCAATGTCAATGAGGTTGTTTACTGGTTAGAGAAAGGGTTTAGCTGAATAAATGTATTAGATCTTGCTGGATAAAGGTTGACAATACTAGGAAAATTGAGATCTCACAAGAAAAAATTGATGTTAGCTTGCCTCATATAGGATTCTGTTTTATCAAGCGACTGAATTCAATGTGTTACATTTACCATACAGGGTTGTAATTGGTTATGATGAAGGAACCATCATGGTGAAAATCGGTCGAGAGGTACCTGTTGCTAGTATGGATAATGGTGGAAAAATTATATGGGCTAAGCATAATGAAATTCAGACTGTTAATATTAAAAGCGTTGGAGCAGATTATGAGGTGTGGATATGATATTCTTCCGGCTTTGCATAACTAAGTTTATGAATAGTATCAAGTGCTGATATGTTGGAAATTTTTATTAGTGTATTACTTTTTCTCTCAGGTTGCTGATGGAGAAAGACTGCCTTTGGCTGTTAAAGAATTGGGCACTTGTGATCTTTACCCACAAGTGAGTTTTTGGTTATTTTTATTCTATTAATCAATAATTTTTTTCATCAACAACCTAGACTGTCATATGTAGATCTTTGTTGCTGTGTAATTTGTATTCAAGCAATTTTTTATCCAAGTGTTCTTAATTGAACTGCTTTATTTGTTATATTCGTGAACATAATGACTTCATAGATGCTGTTACCATTAGATACCAAGTGGAGCACATGATATAAATTATAATACTTACTATCCTGAGAAAATTAATGGTTTAAGATTTTTTATTCACTCTTTATGTTTCCATGATTGCAAATTAACGACAAGTTTTTCATGTTTAGCATGTGACTCTCTGACACAGATTACTAATCAGNCCTGATACATTTTTCATTCTTAGAGAAAAATATTAGTTGGCTTAATATTAAAGAAATTAGGCAAACATGATATTTGGGGGAAAATAATTGTTGCTTTAAATCATCTTGGTGACATCATTATTTTTAAGATTACATTCAGCTGCAGCTGTAGTGCTTGTATGTTAATCTATGTTGGCATCATATTCACTTTGGTTTCTTTCTCTTTCACAGAGCTTGAAGCACAATCCCAATGGTAGGTTCGTGGTTGTGTGTGGAGATGGCGAACATATTATATACACAGCTTTGGCATGGAGAAATAGGTCTTTTGGTTCAGCATTGGAATTCGTTTGGTCATCTGATGGGGAATATGCTATTAGAGAAAGTACATCGAGGATTAAGATCTTCAGTAAAAATTTTCAGGTTTATAATTTCCTTCATACTTTTCTTTATTCTTCACTTCACTGTCTGTGCCCTTTATTTTATGGTCTCTGTTAAAGGCATGTTCATATGCTCTCTTCTTTTACTGTCCTTCCTTTTCATTGATTTTTATTTTAGGTCATTTTGTTTTGTGCTGACCTCAGCAATATATTTTACGAGTATTGCAAAAGCTTTCTCCGCGATATTCAAAACTCAATCAGTGCTTTTTCCGTAAAGAATATGTTTGTTCTCTATAAATTGTATTAAATTGTTCACTTTTGTTCCTTTAATTTTCTAAAAGTGAATCTAGTGGTACTGTTTTCTCATAATTTTAATTAAAACAAAGGAGTTGTGTTGAGACCCTTTTCTCATTTACCTACTGGGATAAGTGGTAACAATGACTATTTCTTTCAGGAGAAGAAAAGTATCCGGCCTACATTTTCCGCTGAGCGCATATATGGGGGGACTTTATTGTCAATATGCTCAAATGACTTTATTTGTTTTTATGATTGGGCTGAATGCAGGTTGATTCGTCGGATTGATGTTAATGTTAAAGTAAGAATTTTATGGCTTTAGCTATTATACGTAAATGTTGCAATTATAGCCATAAAGGCAATCAAACAGTTTTTTTCTTTTTTTTTTCCTCCCTCAATTTCCAGAATCTTTATTGGGCTGATAGCGGTGATTTGGTTACCATTGCCAGCGATACATCATTCTATGTACTCAAGTATAATGTAAGGATTTTATTATCTTAGTTTCACACGAACATGTCTATAAATAACTATATCTTCCTTGTATCATTATAGTTTGGATTATATTTGGCTTTTCCAAACTGCAGCGAGATGTAGTTTCTGCTCATATAGATGGTGGGAGGTCAGTAGATGAACAAGGCGTCGAAGATGCTTTTGAGCTCCTTTATGAAATAAATGAACGAGTGAAGACTGGAATTTGGGTCGGGGATTGCTTCATTTACAATAACTCTTCCTGGAAGCTTAATTACTGCGTAGGGGGTGAGGTATGGTTTGCTGTGTGCCTTTAAGGTATATGCTCACGTTCTACAATTTTATCATTTACAGGATCATAAAGAAATGTGTTTTCGTGTGATTTCTAGGTAACAACAATGTTCCATTTTGATCGGCCCATGTATCTACTAGGATATCTTGCTAATCAGAGTCGAGTATATCTCATTGACAAAGAATTCAAGTGAGTGAGGTTCTTGGAAGCTTAGGATCAGTGATTGATTTGATCAGATCTT